TTTTTTTTTTAACACTTTTATCAGTCACTCTGGTTCCAGGAGAACTGATAGCATTAATCCTCTGGTTTTGAAAACCTGAGCATTGATCAGATTTTCCTTGAGCTACTAGGGTTCACACACACCATGAGGCTCAGCCAGGCAACCTTGCTCTGACCTCCTGCAACATCAGTGATATTAGCAGTGAGGAGATGGGGGGAAACTAGAGGAAGATAGGACAGAGCTGGGGTGGGAGGTGAGGGGAATGACTCATAATTCTGACCTTTTGTCTCTTTTGAGACCCAGCTGTTTACATGCTCCCTGGACTCCTCTGTAGCTTCAGCAAAGGACAGCAGCTCCAGCTCCACATGATAGAACTGAAGACAGGACTCCTTAAATGTCTTTGGAGAGAAAAGTGTTCAGTAAGGCCATGTTGCTAAATAAAAAATGTCAGTGAGCTTCAAAACATTCTCAATGCCAGCTATATGATTTTTAAAATTAAAAAGAACACACACATGTTTTAAATATGTTCACATCTTAAGCTACTAGATGTTGAAATATTTAAGTTTGTAAGGAAGTATGTCCTGAGCCCTGAATAACCTGAGATATATACATGAAATATTATAAAATTTATATATGGCATAATTTGAAACAATACAGGTATGATTATAGAATCAGGAGTCTTTAAAAAAATTTACGAGAAGTTTCTCAACTTCTCTAGGTTTTGTTTCATTGTTTGCTTGTGTTAGAAGCACTGGGGATTGAGCCCAGGGCCTTAAGCATACTAGGCAAATGTTCTATCAAGCAGCTATGTCCCAAGGCATTGTTTTCTTTTTCTTTTTTCCATTTCTTTTTCGTTACGGGGATTGAACTCAGGTGCACTCGACCACTGAGCCACATCGCCAGCCAAATTTTGTATTTTATTTAGAGACAGGGTCTTACTGAGTTGCATAGCTCCTTGATGTTGCTGAGGCTGGCTTTGAACTCATGATCCTCCTGTCTCAGGCTCTTGAGTCTCTGGTGCATGTGCCAGTGCGCCAGTCGTTTTGTTTTTGAGATAAGGGTATCACTAGGTTGCCCAAGCTGGTCTCTATCTCTCCATCCTTCTGCCTCAACCTCCCAAGTGTGCCATCCTGCCTGGTCTCTAGGGTCTCTCTTCTGGGTTGTATATCACCAGGTATTTTAAATACAACTTTTATTGTTCTACTGATTCAACTTACTGAGAGGAAATCACAGGTCTTCTCTCCAAAGAGCCTGTTGGCTGTTGTAAGCAAGTACTTTGAGCCAGGCTTGTTCACTTGAGTGAGAAGCATCTGGAACTTTTTATGGATGTCTTCCTCTGTGTTTAAAGACAGTGCCTGTGAAGGAAAACAAGAGAAAACTATCAATTTTGATCTCAGTCTTAACTAGAATTTGCAAACAATTTTTTTTCTCAAATACTGCATGAAATTATCCTTTGTGAGGAATTAGTTCCTAATTGAGATGTGACACTGGTGGGATAGATGAATAGAGGGACCAGGAAACTGGTAAGTAAAAGATATGGCTCTTCCACTTGCACAGAACTCTCTGCATAGTTTATAGATGAGCAATGGAAAAAAAATGAAAGGGCAAGAGAGGTTCAGATAAGGGACTATTCTTAAGTCCTTCATCCCAGGGACACCATAGATGTATCAAAAATAGAGGAAAACTTGCCTCTACAATTTTTCCCCCAAAAACCATGTAGTTCAAAACACTAAAAAATTGGACAGGAATGCAATCATAATGATAACTTCAAAAGGAAATGAAAGTAAAAAATGAGCAGTGTGATACATATGAACAAAACAGAATACTTAAAATAGTATGCTATAGAGATTATATATATATATATTTATATACACACATATATTTTATTATACATCATATTTCATAAAATGTGTCACATACTAAGCCATAAAAAAGTTTTAATTGACTCTGAAATACAGAAAATACACAGTTTATATTCAATGACCTCAGCATAGGGAACTAAATGTAAATAACACTACAAATAAAATACCAACACCATGGAAATTAACCTATTAAGTAACTATTGCAAATACTTTCTAAATAAATGATTGTTAAGAATTACTTGAAATACTATTCTAAATATGTAACAGATGTTTTAGCAAATGATCAAAATAAAAGTTATATTGGGGCTGGGGATGTGACTCAAGCAGTAACGCACTCCCCTGGCATGTACAGCACGCTGGGTTCAATCCTGAGCACCACTTAAAAATAAAATAAAGATGTTGTGTCCATCCAAAACTATAAAATAAATATTAAAAACAGCATTAATTTTTTCATATTGCCAAGGAAATAATGAAATAGCAAAATTTCCAACTCAATGTTAGAAAAGATACAGAAAAATTACTAAGGATTTTAGGGAAAAACATAAAACGGTCAACGAGCCTAAAAACTGGTTCTATGAAAGAAAGCACACATGTTCACACAAAGTAGACAGACATCAGCAACTGCAAGAAAAAGTACCTAGAAGGCAAGTAATAAGTGGAAAACAGATTACACAGAAATGCATACAGATGAATTGTTAATAAATGAAAGCTAAATTATTTTCATCAAAGTGTAAGTTATGAATTACCAAGTGAATATACAGAGATGTGGACATGGGTAAAAGTTGCTCAATGGGCACTGAGTTACATATAGGAGCAAGAGATTCTGGTGGCTGCTGCACAGTAGATGTGACTACAGAGAATGATAATGTGGGGTACATTTCAAAGAATTGCAAGAAAAGATATTGTATGCTTTCACCACAAAGAAATGATAAATGATTGAAGTGATAGATATGTTTACCTGATTTGAACATTACACAATGTACATATGAATTAAAACATCACATAATAG